AACCCACGCGGGTACCCGCACAAGGCCCGCGCGGGTACCCGCACAAGGCCCGCGCGGGTACCCGCACAAGGCCCGCGCGGGTACCCGCAAAAGGCCCGCGCGGGTACCCGCACAAGGCCCGCGCGGGTACCCGCACAAGGCCAGCGCGGGTACCCGCACAAGGCCCGCGCGGGTACCCGCAAAGGGCCGGTATGTCTGTGGGTAATACTGAACTACCTAAGTCTTAAGCCTTAAGCCTTATAGCTTTCTGCAAAAACCTCAATGGAATTTACTTAGACTTAGTCAATTCAAGAACACGCCAAGAAGCCACGCGGGTACCCGCACAAGGCCCGCGCGGGTACCCGCACAAGGCCCGCGCGGGTACCCGCACAAGGCCCGCGCGGGTACCCGCACAAGGTCCGCGCGGGTACCCGCAAATGGCCGGTATGTCTGTGGGTAATACTGAACTACCTAAGTCTTAAGCCTTAAGCCTTAAGCCTTAAGCTTTCTGCAAAAACCTCAATGGAATTTACTTAGACTTAGTCAATGCAAGAACACGCCAAGAAGCCACGCGGGTACCCGCACAAGGCCCGCGCGGGTACCCGCACAAGGCCCGCGCGGGTACCCGCACAAGGCCCGCGCGGGTACCCGCAAAAGGCCCGCGCGGGTACCCGCACAAGGCCCGCGCGGGTACCCGCACAAGGCCCGCGCGGGTACCCGCAAAGGGCCGCTATGTCTGTGGGTAATACTGAACTACCTAAGTCTTAAGCCTTAATCCTTAAGCCTTAAGCTTTCTGCAAAAACCTCAATGGAATTTATTTCGACTTAATCAATTCAAGAACACGCCAAGAAGCCACGCGGGTACCCGCACAAGGCCCGTGCGGGTACCCGCACAAGGCCCGCGCGGGTACCCGCACAAGGCCCGCACGGGTACCCGCAAAAGGCCCGCGCGGGTACCCGCACAAGGCCCGCGCGGGTACCCGCACAAGGCCCGCGCGGGTACCCGCACAAGGCCCGCGCGGGTACCCGCAAAGGGCCGGTATGTCTGTGGGTAATACTGAACTACCTAGTCTTAAGCCTTAAGCCTTAAGCCTTAAGTTTTTTGCAAAAACCTCAATGGAATTTACTTAGACTTAGTCAATTCAAGAACACGCCAAGAAGCCACGCGGGTACCCGCACAAGGCCCGCGCGGGTACCCGCACAAGGCCCGCGCGGGTACCCGCACAAGGCCCGCGCGGGTACCCGCAAAAGGCCCGCGCGGGTACCCGCACAAGGCCCCCGCGGGTACCCGCACAAGGCCCGCGCGGGTACCCGCACAAGGCCCGCGCGGGTACCCGCAAAGGGCCGGTATGTCTGTGGGTAATACTGAACTACCTAAGTCTTAAGCCTTAAGCCTTAAGCTTTCTGCAAAAACATCAATGGAATTTACTTAGACTTAATCAATTCAAGAACACGCCAAGAAGCCACGTGGGTACCTGCACAAGGCCCGCGCGGGTACCCGCACAAGGCCCGCGCGGGTACCCGCACAAGGCCCGCGCGGGTACCCGCAAAAGGCCCGCGCGGGTACCCGCACAAGGCCCGCGCGGGTACCCGCACAAGGCCCGCGCGGGTACCCGCACAAGGCCCGTGCGGGTACCCGCAAAGGGCTGGTATGTCTGTGGGTAATACTGAATTACCTAAGTCTTAAGCCTTAAGCCTTAAGCTTTCTGCAAAAACCTCAATGGAATTTACTTAGACGTAGTCAATTCAAGAACACGCCAAGAAGCCATGCGGGTACCCGCACAAGGCCCGCGCGGGTACCCGCACAAGGCCCGCGCGGGTACCCGCAAAAGGCCCGCGCGGGTACCCGCAAAAGGCCCGCGCGGGTACCCGCAGAAGGCCCGCGCGGGTACCCGCACAAGGCCCGCGCGGGTACCCGCACAAGGCCCGGGCGGGTACCCGCAAAGGGCCGGTATGTCTGTGGGTAATACTGAACTACCTAAGCCTTAAGCCTTAAGCCTTAAGCTTTCTGCAAAAACCTCAATGGAATTTACTTAGACTTAGTCAATTCAAGAACACGCCAAGAAGCCACGCGGGTACCCGCACAAGGCCCGTGCGGGTACCCGCACAAGGCCCAAGCGGGTACCTGCAAAAGGCCCGCGCGGGGTACCCGCAAAAGGCCCGCGCGGGTACCCGCAGAAGGCCCGCGCGGGTACCCGCACAAAGCCCCCGCGGGTACCCGCAAAAGGCCCGCGCGGGTACCCGCACAAAGCCCGCGCGGGTCACTGCACAGGGCCGCTACGTCTGTGGGTAATAATGAACTACTTAAGACTTAAGCTTTCTGCAAGAACGTGAATGGAGTTTATACTTAGACTTACTCACTTAGTCAATTCAAGAACACGCCAACAAGCCACGCGGGTACCCGCACAAGGCCCGCGGGTACCCGCACAAGGCCCGCACGGGTACCCGCAAAGGCTGCACGGGTACCCGCACAAGGCTTGCGCGGGTACCCGCACAGGGCGTGCGGGTACCCGCACAAGGCCCGCGCGGGTACCCGCACAGGCCGCGCGGGTACCCGCACAAGGCTCCCGCGGGTACCCGCACAGGGCCCGCACGGGTACCTGCACAGGCCGCGCGGGTACCTGCACAAGGCCTCCGCGGGTACCCGCACAAGGCCCCTGTGGGTACTCGCACAGGGCATGCGGGTAACCGCACAAGGCCCCTGCGGGTACCCCGCACAGGAGCTCTGCCCGGCATGCCTTTCTGAATACCTGCAAGTTCATGGTGCTTCCTAAAAATTCAAGGCCTGAGCCTTATGCAAAGACCGGAGCTATGGAGCTTGCCTCACTACGGAGAAATACACCACCCAGGTCTGCCGCTACCTGCAACCTCCCTGTGTGTATGTGCAAGGTCGTGTTCGTTCACACTGACCCCCTGAGCCTCCTGCCAAGGCCCTTCTGGTGCTTACATCAGTATGCAGTGTGCAGGAATGCAGCAGCCACGCCCGTGGCTGCACGCAACATCTCAAAAACTGCAAGGTGGCTACCTGCACAAAGGCTACGTGCTACCTGCAGCTTATAAACTAAGTCGGCCAAGGATACGAGTCCTTTGCAACATGCTGTGGAGTTTCTGTCAAACAATTTAGCAGGCACCCGGTGCTTGCACGAACATCTCTAGCTAAGCCTGCTGCCTGCAGCGAACTGCATGTCGGATACAGCATGCCGTGCACACTGCCCTGTGCCCTATGTCTTGTGCCTCCAGCACACAAACACAAGACCTCAGAACCGTTGCAATCCCCGAATCTGCCGAACTACGACCCCTGAATATAACAATCTGAAGGCTTCCGGATACGTCAACAAAGGAGACTTTCTGATCACGATTTCCTGCCATGCCCATCCATGGGTTACACTAGCTAGCTCGCACAATACCTGGATGACAGAGCTCGTCCTTACAATTCCAATTTTCTCATGGAGTCAGAAAGTACAAGACTTGTAACTGTAAGCAATTACTCTGAGCGGTTGCAAGCACAGAATGTGCCTTCTCAGGCACAAAGATCTGCTCGCGCCAAACCGACAGCAGGCTTCAGACCTGCACCAGAGCAAGCACAGCTTTGCTGACGTCCAGAAGTACTCTTCGTTCGCCTAATCTGCAATGTCAGGAGCAGCTGCATCTGAAGTCTACCTGACCCTGTCTTCATGTATTCTAACTTTGCATGGCATATGGGCTGTCCTCAAGACAATCATAGCTCTCCTTTTCTCTCTGCATGCAGCCAAGACATCCTAGTCATGTCTACAATGCCTCTTAGGGCGCCTCATTTGCAATGTGACTGGCAGCTGCATGTCGTATCTTGCTCACCCTGTTTTCTTCTATTCCTAATTAGCATGGCACATGGGCACTCCTGAATACAATCGTAGTCGTGGCTCTTGCTTTCTGTCTCCTTGCGCCCAAGACATAGTCGGGCCCTTGTGACCTGCCTACACAGTCGGGCCTGGCTACACAGAGAGGAACCACTCCTGCAGCTTCTCTTCGGCTGGTTTCCTAAGACGAAGTCTCTGCCAGTGGTTTCCTGTCCAGCAGATGGCCACATAATTTGGTGGGCCTTTGAACGGAGCACCACACCAAGCTTGGCATCGGACCCCCTCTCGAACCTGCCTGGCCAACAGACAACCTACCAATGGGCTTGTTGCGTGACACAAGATCGTAGCCTCCAGAAAGCCACCCCAGTGCTGCCGTGGATCCTCTGGATTTTCTGCGGCCAGTGTCATCCCATCGATGTAGGATTCCAGGTCGGGCCACCCAGAGTGCTGCAGCCAGTCTGATATGCCAAGGCCCTCAAACTGTGTCCTGCTGCTGGCCAATCGACGAACAGATTGCACCAGTTGCGACCGCCACCTCGGGCCCATGTTCGAACCACTCTGGCCACTGGGCAGCCGCATGCCCGGGATGAGCTTTTCCTTGCACTCCAGCTCTCTGCCCAAAGCAGTGAACAAGCAATCCCCATCACCGGGAACGTCGCTCAGCTCATAGCTTCCTTTCACCAGGATGCCTGCAGGTAAGTTGGCAACACCCCGTGGCAGACGCAGCTCATCCATTCGGCCCTGGTTTTTGCTCTTGCTCTGGCTGCTGCTGCTGTCACTGCTGCTGCTACTGCTGGAGCTGCTCGAGGAGCTGGACCGCTTCTTTTTGCTGCAAGCCTTTTTCCCTGCACTCGTCCCCTTTGCTGCCTTGGTCTTTCTTCCAGGTAGTGGCATGGCCTGGTGCTTCACTCGACTCTCGAAATTCGGTCCGGCCAGGGCCCATTCGGACAGATGCTTCAGAGTCTCTGCAGCTTGGCCACTTCCTGGAATGGACATAGTGCGGCGACATGCCAGCGCATATTCGGTCCCTGCCTTGTTGCCCTTCTTGTCGGGCCTGTGGCAGTAGCATCGGACCTGAAAACCCCCACAGGGATTTTGCTTGCTTGGCTGTCGGAAGGTAAAGAGGACCTTGACATCATCCGCAAGCTGTATTGTTTTGCCTTTTGCAGCTCTCTGGATGATGTCTTAGACCTCTTCCTGTGGAAGCATTCCATGGACGTCCAAAGCAGCAGATTTGAAAGCCTGGCTGACTCGGGCCTTTGTCTGGAGTGCCTCTGTCTGGACAGCATCATCATCACTCTCGGACCTTGCCTGGTCTGGACCATTCGGCCCCTTCGAAGTGCAGACGGAATCGAGAGTAAACGGACCTGTGTCCATGGGTTGCACATCCAGGAAAAATGGCCTGTCGTTGTCAGCCTCCTCCTTTTCGGGCCCAAGTCCGCAACCTTTAATATACAAGAACTCCCCCGTCCAATTGCTGCTAGGCACCAAGGAAGCAGCCAGCTCTGGAAGGCTGAAAAGCCATGTTTGCCGACCGCATCCCGGTTTCCACTTCGGGGCCAAGATGAGACCTTGCCTCGTGGTCGGCTGGAGGTACCTCGTGGGTTAGATAGACTGACATTGAACAGAACAAGAGCTCCAGGGTCCCGCATAGCATTGTGGAAGACAGCATATTACGAATTACCACTAGTACATATTACTATATTACTGCTTACTGATTGATGACTGAGTTACTGCTTATGCCGCTTCTCAAACCAGGCTACGTGTCCTCCTCCAGAGACAGGAAGGTGGCTCGCACAGGCCGATCATATGTCAGGTAGCAAACCTGATACCAAAGGCATCGGACCATGGACCCGGCAATCTCGGGCCTCTGCAACCGGACAACTACGTGGTTCTCATCGAGCAGCAATCGCTGCTTGCTTTTGACCTTGGACGGCTCCTTCAAGCCTTGACCAGCAAAGGTCATCAGCATGTTGGCTAATGCCTTTTCCAGGTTGCGGGCTGCAGGGGAGAGCACAAGCCCAGCTTGTCTGATGGCACGGGCTGCTCGAGCATTATCAGACTCTTTCGCTAGTTTGACCCCAGGCATAGGCCGCAAAACCACGTGCCGCCGCTCCCACTCCGCCAGCCGCGACTCCCTTGACCGTCCAAGAACTCCGGTGATGCTCGGAGCACAAGCAACATCTTGAGCAGCTTTGCTCATCCATGTGTGTTGCACAAAGTCAGAAGTGAAGCCTGTGTCAGGGCCAGGATCAGAGCAGGCAGGTGGTCGTTGGATGCGCCAGCTGAAGATGTGGTCCTTCAAATGATCTAGAGGCCAAAGTTCACCCTTGCAGTCCACATGCGACAGAAAGTCCTCTCGGGCCTGCTTGTCCCCTGCTTGGGCCTGATTGTGCTGTCTGTCCATTTCCGAGCTGATTTGCTGCCACCTCATCCACAGTGGATCGGCCCGATCTCTTTGGAGCTGTCGGCGTGCTTCCTTGGGATCAAAGCGACTTTGCAGCCGCCTGGCCGCCTTGCGCTTCAGCCTCAAAGGCCAAGCCAAGGGATCTGCCCTGCGAACCTTCGAGCGTTTTCCTCCAGCGACACGACGCCTTTGGGTCATGGCATGGGCCAGGTTCCCATACTTCTGCATCTCAGACTCGGAGAGCTGCCGGTACTTTTGCACATCCTCCCTGTTTGCCAGTCGGCCCCGGACATTGCTGGCCACATAAGCCTGATATGCAGAGATGCTTCTTTGTTTCTTGGCAGTAGTCTTTTTCGGGTTTTGTCCTGGGCCCTTGCGTTTCTTTCCGTTCCCGGAAGAGTCCTCAGTCGGACCCTTGTTGCCTGCCATGGACAGATCGGACCAGAGGTCTGCATGGAGAGCCGGCATCCCCTGCAACATCCTCATCATGCGCTGGGCACTCTGGTCCTGCAACTTCAGAGCTCTGCCGAGATCGCTCCGGCGCCTCGCCCATTTCTTGCCTGCAGCATGCCCTGCTTCTATCTCATTCGTGCTCTCACGTGTCAGCTTCGCCACAGTGAGCACTTCAGCCTGGCAACCTGCTCCAAGCAGATCCTCTTCCTCGGAAGATGCTGGGCAGTTGAGCAGGCCCCACCTTCCCCATGCCTCTGACCAAAAACTTACACATTCAACAGACACCTCACGGGTGCAAGCATCCTGAATTCCCATATAGTGTTTCTTGACAATGCACAATTGCGAGAATCCCACTTTGCAAGCATGAAATCACATACAGGGGAACGCTAAACCTGGGCCCAGGGGAAAGTTCACAGACATGACCTCACTTTCATTGCCGAAAAGCTCGTGGATATGCTGCAAGCATGAGCCTGCCGAAGGAGTCGAACAAATCCTTGCTGATGCTGGCGTCTTCAGCAATCTCGCCTGCAGCTGCTGCGCTTGCCAGGATCTCAAGGAATGCATATGGGTATACCCTCTGCTCGATGATGCCCAGGGAATAAAGGGAGCCTTGAAGCCGGGTGGTCATCCGGTAGAGCAGCAGTTCCAGGGGCATGCTCTTGCTTTCTGGGAATAACTCGGACAAAACTTCTGGACCCTGGCAGAAGTCCTCACTGCTAGACTGCAACAAACGATGCAAGTCCAAAGCTCGGAAGGCTGTCTGAGCTGGATAAACTGCATGCTCGGGCGTACTCTTGTCGTGCGGTCTAGGCAACTCCCTGCACATCTGCTGGTGCTCATAATCATTGCCACAGCGATCCACTGCGGCTCTTTTCAGTTCATCCGTTCGGGTCAGGGTTAGAACTGCCACATAGAGGTTCTGCAGGGAATCGGACCGATGCAGGTACTCCTGCACGTCACTTTCGAAGGGCACGTGCAACAACAAACCGTGACAGCAAAAGAGCTGGAGCATGTGTGCGCTCGAAGCATGCTGCCCTTGCCAGGATCTTCGTGGAAAGTTGATGGGAGGAGGACTGAACAAGGCCTCCAGTCCATAGGCCTGTCGAAGCTTGAAGCGGAGGCTCTCGGTTCCATTTGGGCAGCAATCGGGCCCAATGCAATAGTGTTGCAGCTCAGACCCAAGTCGGACATCTCCATTCAAAACATAGTCCCAAAGGAACTTTCTTCGGGCCTCGGCCTTGGTCTTGGGAGCATGAGGCCACAAGACACTGGCCATTTGGGCCCGCCAGCGCTTCACTTCAGCAGGTGGCTCTCCTGCATACACTCGGCACTTCTGGAGAGCAAACTTCATAACTCGGTCCCTTGCTAGTCTCGTGAACCCGGCTTTTTGCCGAAATGCCAATGTGGCATTGATCAAAAAGCTTTCTGTCGCTGGATCCACGGAAAGTGCATTCTGCTCAGATGTGCGATATCTGTGTAGGCAACACCGCAACAATGTCGATGGAACTCCAGTGTCGACCTCCAAGGAACGCTCTGCTGCTAAGGCAGATCGGTGCAAATCCGTGTGTCGCAGCACCTCAGATGCCCACAGTCTGTCGGTGCCAGGCAGGAGAGGCTGGAACAATCTATGTCTGTAATATTTGAATGGGTTCATGCTGCCCCTGGTTGAAGCCCGGTTATAATGTCTGATGTTCTAACGGTCTGCTCATAAACAGGTGAGGATCAATCTGCATTTTGAAGACCTCGAGCATTCGGGCCTCCTCTGCACTCCAAGACATCGTGTCCATGATGGTTTTCCGCACAATGGGGCCCTGCTGATTTTCCATTGCCACCAATGGACTGGTCAGGGTGCCATGCACCAGGTGATACCGCGGAAGGTCCTCTCGGAACCCTGGCTTCAAGTACAGACACATGCCCCATCGCAGTTTGCTGGCCATAATCTTTCCGGTCTCGGGAATATATACAATCTCGCCAGTGTCCTCCTGCAGGTACCCTTGCGAGCAGTATGTGGGAGTCTCGTCGTAGAGTCGTTCCCAAACGAAAAGTCGAGCCTCTATGTTTTCTTCCTTCTGAATCTTTCCGAGCAGCTCCTTGAAGCTTTGTCGCTCTGCAGATTCTGCAAGAGAAGAACGCAAGATTGCATCTTTAGCATCCCAAGCTTTCGAAAGTCCTGCCTTTTTTAACGGTCTTGGTCTCGGGCCTGCCTGTGGAGCTTGTGCTGCAGCATTCACTCGTGCCTGAGGCTCTGAAGCTTGCTCTCTGTCCGGGCATTGGGCTGCCGGATGCCGGACAGTGTCTTGCTCATCTTCGGAGCTGGATGCAGGAAACATGACCAGAAAGCACTGTCCCCGCTCTATCCTGGCTTCTGTCGTTACTGTTTGAAAGAACTAACAGTAACATGCTACCTCCTCTGTCACTGCTTTTCCTGTTAAAGACATACTTTTGAGGTGGGTTGTGCTGGCTTCGTGTCTCGATTCTACGAAGATCGATCTGGATACTGCAGCGGCCGGTTGGTGAGTGTAACATGTCTTAACTTGACTGGACTAAATCCTGGTTTACAGCAGTGCAGAACAATCACCAGAAGAGCGCCCAGAACAGGCCTCCCAGGTTTGTCTTTGCAAAGACGCCTTCGACGAGAGACCTTAGAAAGCATGTGAGCACATATCTTGAAGACTCTCTCTCCAGGCTATCAAGCAGTTCATACAGGGGTCGAAATAGTCTGCTTTCCTTGGTAGGGGTTCCAATTGCTGAACAAACTTTGCCCCCAGAACTGAGAAACTCCGTGCATGCTAATATCCCAAATGGAAACCCAGCCGGGTTTGAACTGCTTACTGCTTCTGTTATATCAATGACTGTGAGAGATGCTGCTTCGATATTAGCTTGTTCCGTGACCCACTGTTGTCCTGAAGCCTCTACACTCTACCCTCCTCTACACTAATTCGCTTCTGCCCGGAATCCTCGAATAAGGAAGCGGCTGAAGGCCATATTAGGATGAATGGATTCCAAGGGGTTAAGGATTCCTTTCAAGGGGTTTCCCTTTTTCCTTATCAGGCAGGCCCTGGTGTCTGCGATCTCTTAAAATCCTGCAGGCTAATTTCACAAACCGAATACAATGCCAATGCCGAGTGCAACTTGTGTCTATCAGCAAGGCTCAGAGCCGCAAAGCAACAAAGAACTGAAAAAGCAGAAATGCTATCATTCCTGTGCTGCTATTAGATACCTGAACACCAGGACAACAAGTCGATCGCGACGACTGTCACAGCATGACAAACAGTCGATCCCAACGACTGTCCCGAAATTTGGCTGCAGGCTGAAACGGCAGAGCAAAGCAGCCTGCACACGGACTCGGGTGATTCCAGACACCAGGGGGGTCCTACAGGGGCCCTTGGACCTTCTTCATTGCTTGAACGAATGAAGGTTGGGAAGGAAAGGGGCCTGGGAAGGCGGCCTCCAGGCCTGCACATGACATGCTACTTATTATGCCCACTGGCTGGCGCCTAAGGTGGCAACTCCTGAGAAGGTACAAAAAAACAATCGTCTGTATGCGGTTCTCTTATAAGCTGACTCGCCCCTTAAGTCCTATTCCTAACGGGGCTGGGGCTGGGCTGCTGTAGGGTCAAGGCAGGCTTAACGGAAGCCCCCAAACGTGTCGGCGGACCAGGGCTGCCGACGGCAGCCAGTGAGCCAGGGCAAATCGGCAGCAAACCCCAAAAGATCAGTTTCAGAGTTTAATGACGAGCCAGCAATCTTAAGAGTGTGCCACCGCAAGTCACAAAATCCAGCCCCTACGAATTGGTCTTCCCAATTGACTTACTTAATAAATAAACTCTTATAGGCATTAATAATCCAGCAGGCATGGGCTCAGGTTTACGCTGTCTCTAGGGGGTCCAAAGTTGAAGGCGCCTGCTGCTGCCCGTTCCGCTGAGGCTGTCCATTCAGCTGTGGCGGCGTAGTCCAGAAGGAGACGGACACCGAATCGAATGACGCCGACCTGAGGATTGTCCCCGCCATCCCGCGGCAGTGGTTCTTCCCAACTAGCCGAAACTGGGAAACCATTGGAACCTCAGTGTGCTGTCGCCGCCATCTTCACGGACTCGGTCCGTGTCTTGGAGGCTTGGCGGTCGAGAAGCAACTTTGTCGCTTTGTGCTTCTCAGGATCATGGTGCTGCTCCTCAGCAGCATCTTGCCCATGAACGCTGAACAATGGCGCTTTCCATCGGAAGGCAACGTGTTCCCAAGTCAAGCAAGCTTTTCAGGGCAACCCTCCCCCTAAGACTAAGGAGGACATTCGAAACACACTCGTGCCAGACAACAAGAAAGGGCTGCTGTAGTGTTTATTTCATGGATTCTTGGCATGCAAGTCCACCCGGTTATTTTACACAGACCTTTCAACACGGACTCCAACAACCCGTCCGAATCCTGCTTAGGGTTTAAAAATTCAGGATGTATATTGGGATTCTGGGATTATTTCTCTTGGCCTAATGCTGGAATAGGTCATTCAACGGCTGTGGACATGACATTGATCAGGGCACTAGTGCGGGACTCAATTATTGCTCTGTGTCCTGTTCTGGGCTAGGCTTCGGAGTTTCTGTCTGATGATACGAGGTCAGGGCTTTGTGTGTGTGTGTGCGGGCGCATGCATCCCCTGGCTGCCTGTTCATGTTTAGGGTGTTTAGGGCCCCTTTGACCACGGGCCATGGTCGGGGTTTACTGTTGTGTGTGTGTGTGTGCATCTCTGCAGAACACTCCGAACAAGCTGCACCCCCCATGATGAATCGGTCCATGTTCCAACCGACCTAGGAGCAAGAATGCCCTAAAGGAAGCAACACGACTCCAGCGACCTGAAACGAACAACCCTAAAGGCCGAAAGTCTGCCCTAAAAAGGAACCCCTGAACCCCCCAAGCCGAAAGCCTTCGTGAACCCCGAAACCGGCAAGGCCGTTGAACACTCGGAATCCCCAAGCTAAACCCGAAAGCCCAGGGGCTCTTCCCTTCGAACCTAGAAACTCTGAACACCCCGAAGCCCTAGGCCCTAAGGTAAGCCCTAGGCCCTAAGCCCTAAGCCCTAGGCCCTAAGCCCTAAGGCTAAGGCCCTAAAGGCTTGAACCACAACCCCTTTAACATTGCTCCCACAGTTGAACTTGCATAGAATGTCGGGCTCTCCAGTTATTTATGTTGTCTGAGGTTTAGTAGGGGTCCTCATTGCAGTCAGGGTTCCTGTCTTGATTTGCTTATTGGCAGGTTCAGGGTCGGGACATAATGTAAGCAGGAAATGGTTTTTCAAGTTCGGACCCTGATGACGAATCCCCGGCCTC